TTTATTTTCCCTCACATGCTGTATACGAGTACGAAAGCAATCACCAGGTGTAATCAAGGTGCTCCGAATGAGTAGCTGTGCTTTATTTTCCCTCACATGCCGTATAAAAGTACGAAAGCAATCACTGGGTGTAATCAAGGTGTTCCGAATGAGTAAATGTCTTTTATTTTCCCTCACATGCTGTATACAAGTACGAAAGCAATCACCAGATGTAATCAATGTGTTCCGAATGAGTAGCTGTGCTTTATTTTTCCTCACATGCCATACAAAAGTACAAAAGCAATCACCAGGTGTAATCAAGGTGTTCCGAATGAGTAGCTGTCCTTTATTTTCCCTCACATGCTGTATACAAGTACGAAAGCTGTAATCAAGGTGCTCCGAATGAGTAGCTGTGCTTTATTTCCCTCACATGCCATATAAAAGTACAAAAGCAATCACTGGGTGTAATCAAGGTGTTCCGAATGAGTAAATGTCTTTTATTTTCTCTCACATGCCGTATAAAAGTACGAAAGCATCACGTGTAATCAAGGTGCTCCGAATGAGTAGCTGTGCTTTATTTTCCCTCACATGCCATATAAAAGTACAAAAGCAATCACCAGGTGTAATCAAGGTGTTCCGAATGAGTAAATGTCCTTTATTTTCCCTCACATGCTGTATACAAGTACGAAAGCTGTAATCAAGGTGCTGCTAATGAGTAGCTGTGCTTTATTAGCCTCACATGCCATATAAAAGTACAAAAGCAATCACCAGGTGTAATCAAGGTGTTCCGAAAGAGTAAATGTCTTTTATTTTCCCTCACATGCCGTATACAAGTACGAAAGCAATCACCAGGTGTAATCAAGGTGCTCCGAATGAGTAGCTGTGCTTTATTTTCCCTCACATGCCATATAAAAGTACAAAAGCAATCACCAGGTGTAATCAAGGTGTTCCGAATGAGTAAATGTCCTTTATTTTCCCTCACATGCTGTATACAAGTACGAAAGCTGTAATCAAGGTGCTGCTAATGAGTAGCTGTGCTTTATTTGCCTCACATGCCATATAAAAGTACAAAAGCAATCACTGGGTGTAATCAAGGTGTTCCGAATGAGTAAATGTCTTTCACATGCCGTATAAAAGTACGAAAGCAATCACCAGGTGTAATCAAGGTGTTCCGAATGAGTAGCTGTCCTTTATTTTCCCTCACATGCCGTATAAAAGTACGAAAGCAATCACCAGGTGTAATCAAGGTGTTCCGAATGAGTAGCTGTGCTTTATTTTCCCTCACATGCGTATACAAAGTACGAAAGCAATCACCAGGTGTAATCAAGGTGCTCCGAATGAGTAGCTGTGCTTTATTTTCTCTCACATGCCATATAAAAGTACGAAAAGCAATCACCAGGTGTAATCAAGGTGTTCCGAATGAGTAGCTGTCCTTTATTTTCCCTCACATGCTGTATACAAGTACGAAAGCAATCACCAGGTGTAATCAAGGTGTTCCGAATGAGTAAATGTCCTTTATTTTCCCTCACATGCTGTATACAAGTACGAAAGCTGTAATCAAGGTGCTGCTAATGAGTAGCTGTGCTTTATTTTCCCTCACATGCCATATAAAAGTACAAAAGCAATCACTGGGTGTAATCAAGGTGTTCCGAATGAGTAAATGTCTTTATTTTCACATGCTGTATACAGTACGAAAGCAATCACCAGGTGTAATCAAGGTGCTCCGAATGAGTAGCTGTGCTTTATTTTCCCTCACATGCCGTATAAAAGTACAAAAGCAATCACTGGGTGTAATCAAGGTGTTCCGAATGAGTAGCTGTCCTTTATTTTCCCTCACATGCTGTATACAAGTACGAAAGCTGTAATCAAGGTGCTGCTAATGAGTAGCTGTGCTTTATTTGCCTCACATGCCATATAAAAGTACAAAAGCAATCACTGGGTGTAATCAAGGTGTTCCGAATGAGTAAATGTCTTTTATTTTCTCTCACATGCCGTATAAAAGTACGAAAGCAATCACCAGGTGTAATCAAGGTGTTCCGAATGAGTAGCTGTCCTTTATTTTCCCTCACATGCCGTATAAAAGTACGAAAGCAATCACCAGGTGTAATCAAGGTGTTCCGAATGAGTAGCTGTCCTTTATTTTCCCTCACATGCCGTATAAAAGTACGAAAGCAATCACCAGGTGTAATCAAGGTGTTCCGAATGAGTAGCTGTGCTTTATTTTCCCTCACATGCCGTATAAAAGTACGAAAAGCAATCACCAGGTGTAATCAAGGTGTTCCGAATGAGTAGCTGTCCTTTATTTTCCCTCACATGCCGTATACAAGTACGAAAGCAATCACCAGGTGTAATCAAGGTGCTCCGAATGAGTAGCTGTGCTTTATTTTCCCTCACATGCCGTATAAAAGTACGAAAGCAATCACTGGGTGTAATCAAGGTGTTCCGAATGAGTAAATGTCCTTTATTTTCCCTCACATGCTGTATACAAGTACGAAAGCAATCACAGTGTAATCAAGGTGCTCCGAATGAGTAGCTGTGCTTTATTTTCCCTCACATGCCATATAAAAGTACAAAAGCAATCACTGGGTGTAATCAAGGTGTTCCGAATGAGTAAATGTCTTTTATTTTCCCTCACATGCTGTATACAAGTACGAAAGCATCACGTGTAATCAAGGTGCTCCGAATGAGTAGCTGTGCTTTATTTTCCCTCACATGCCATATAAAAGTACAAAAGCAATCACCAGGTGTAATCAAGGTGTTCCGAATGAGTAGCTGTCCTTTATTTTCCCTCACATGCCGTATAAAAGTACGAAAGCAATCACCAGGTGTAATCAAGGTGTTCCGAATGAGTAGCTGTGCTTTATTTTCCCTCACATGCCATATAAAAGTACAAAAGCAATCACTGGGTGTAATCAAGGTGTTCCGAATGAGTAAATGTCCTTTATTTTCCCTCACATGCTGTATACAAGTACGAAAGCTGTAATCAAGGTGCTCCGAATGAGTAGCTGTGCTTTATTTTCCCTCACATGCTATATAAAGGTACAAAAGCAATCACTGCGTGTAATCAAGGTGTTCCGAATGAGTAAATGTCTTTTATTTTCTCTCACATGCCGTATAAAAGTACGAAAGCAATCACCAGGTGTAATCAAGGTGTTCCGAATGAGTAGCTGTCCTTTATTTTCCCTCACATGCTGTATACAAGTACGAAAGCTGTAATCAAGGTGCTCCGAATGAGTAGCTGTGCTTTATTTTCCCTCACATGCCGTATAAAAGTACGAAAGCAATCACAGGTGTAATCAAGGTGTTCCGAATGAGTAGCTGTCCTTTATTTTCCCTCACATGCCGTATAAAGTACGAAAGCAATCACCAGGTGTAATCAAGGTGTTCCGAATGAGTAGCTGTCCTTTATTTTCCCTCACATGCTGTATACAAGTACGAAAGCAATCACCAGGTGTAATCAAGGTGCTCCGAATGAGTAGCTGTGCTTTATTTTCCCTCACATGCCATATAAAAGTACAAAAGCAATCACCAGGGTGTAATCAAGGTGTTCCGAATGAGTAGCTGTCCTTTATTTTCCCTCACATGCCGTATAAAAGTACGAAAGCAATCACCAGGTGTAATCAAGGTGTTCCGAATGAGTAGCTGTCCTTTATTTTCCCTCACATGCTGTATACAAGTACGAAAGCAATCACCAGGTGTAATCAAGGTGTTCCGAATGAGTAGCTGTCCTTTATTTCCCTCACATGCCGTATAAAAGTACGAAAGCAATCACCAGGTGTAATCAAGGTGTTCCGAATGAGTAGCTGTGCTTTATTTTCCCTCACATGCCGTATAAAGTACGAAAGCAATCACCAGGTGTAATCAAGGTGTTCCGAATGAGTAGCTGTCCTTTATTTTCCCTCACATGCCGTATAAAAGTACGAAAGCAATCACCAGGTGTAATCAAGGTGTTCCGAATGAGTAGCTGTCCTTTATTTTCCCTCACATGCTGTATACAAGTACGAAAGCAATCACCAGGTGTAATCAAGGTGCTCCGAATGAGTAGCTGTGCTTTATTTTCCCTCACATGCCTATAAAAGTACAAAAGCAATCACAGGTGTAATCAAGGTGTTCCGAATGAGTAGCTGTGCTTTATTTTCCCTCACATGCCGTATAAAGTACGAAAGCAATCACCAGGTGTAATCAAGGTGTTCCGAATGAGTAGCTGTCCTTTATTTTCCCTCATATGCTGTATACGAGTACGAAAGCAATCACCAGGTGTAATCAAGGTGTTCCGAATGAGTAGCTGTCTTTATTTTCCCTCACATGCGTATACAAAGTACGAAAGCAATCACCAGGTGTAATCAAGGTGTCCGAATGAGTAGCTGTGCTTTATTTTCCCTCACATGCTGTATACAAGTACGAAAGCTGTGTAATCAAGGTGTGCTAATGAGTAGCTGTGCTTATTTCCCTCACATGCCATATAAAAGTACAAAAGCAATCACTGGGTGTAATCAAGGTGTTCCGAAAGAGTAAATGTCTTTTATTTTCTGTCACATGCCGTATAAAAGTACAAAAGCAATCACCAGGTGTAATCAAGGTGTTCCGAATGAGTATATACACCTTGATTAGCACCTGGTGATTGCGTGCGACGGCATGTGACAGAAGATAAAAGACATGTACTCTTTCGAACCTTCATTACACCCATGATGTGCTTTCAGTACTTTATTGGCATGTGAGAGAAAATATAAGACACAGCTACTCATTAGGAGCACCTGAGTACACCTGGCGATTGCTTCGTACTTGTATACAGCAGTGACAATAAAGGACAGCTACTCCTTCGGAACACCTTGATTACACTGTGATTGCTTTCGTATTTGTATAAAACCCAAAAAATAGCATGTGAGGGAAATCAAAGGACAGCTCTATTATCTTTTCCCTCACATGCTTTATACAAGTACGAAAGCAATCACCAGGTGTAATCAAGGTGCTCCGAATGCATTAGTGAAATTGGTATGCGTAGTATGTGCATATGCGCATTTCACTTGTTTCGAAAGAGAGAGCGTGAAGATGGACTCGTCGAGCGCTTTCGGTGAGTTTAGAGGTAGTCTGTACGTGTTTAGACTGGAAAAGAGGCGAATACAGTGTAAGGCATGCTAATACGCTCGCCTGCGCACGTACCTTGCCTGTATAATGGGAGGGCTCACTCTTCTCTTCGCGCGTTGAACTTTCGTGTACATTATATACATTATAGCGCAGGGTAGCTCTGTATACAATAATGTATGTCTCGGTGTGTGTTTATCAGTCAAAGTATGGATCCAGTTTTACACCCTACTATTTGATTCAGTATGGAGCATGTTCTGGAGCAAGTCCTAACCCCCTCCACCCCCACCCACCTCTGGTCTCGTCCCCAGACCCCTCCCACTCATCACGTGGAAAAGGTGTCTACTGTATATTTCTTGGTCCTAGATCTCAAAATCAAGATATCCAATCAGATGGCAGAACGGCCAATCAATGTTACATGCATCCGTAGTCCGCGGACATTGGTTGTAGGTGGAGCCTCGCATGCATCACATTACTGTACTGTGCATCGGATACTACTTCGCTTCAAAAGCTACCAGACCCTCCTTCCCCTTGTGGGTGGAGCAGCTTGGGACGAGACTACCCTCCCTCCCTCCTAGTCTGGCAGGGCCACATCCACGAGCGCTAAGCTCGAGGTTCTGAGTGGATTAGCTTTTACAATGATGGCTAGAGCTTGGCTAAGTGCATATTATAACTTGATGCAAGTGCAATATGACATGAGAACAAAACAGGCAATTTGAACATGGAACTGCTTATAATCTTGGAAGGAGAGGGGGGAAGATAGGGAGGGATGGAGGGAGGGAGGGAGGGGGGGGAGGGAGGGAGTAGTCTGGTTGTGGAACCACACCTATGAGCGGCCCACAAAGTTTGAGGTTCTGTTGGCAAGCTTATCGCAATTTGTACCCTGCTGTAGGATTTTTGCAAAAACGTAAACATAACGTTATATCATGAGTACATATCACTTACAGTCAGCATATAATTTTGCATCAGCCTGCCATTGGTAGACAGCAACAAAGTGGTATATAGGTGTCCTACTCTGCACTTTTCCATGTGAGCTGCAACTATGTGTACCTCAATTTTTGTTGCAGGCCAGTGAATAAAATGTTATTTTCCTCTAGGCTCTTTGTGCCAAGAAGGCGGCTCGCAGGAGTCCGGAGAAGATTGTTCTGAGAAAGATTATTGTGAGAGTAAATATATTTTTGTTAGTAGTTCTGAGGGTGAGTCAGGGGAAGGTTGGGAGAGTGAGTCGGAAGCAATTGACGATAGCTTACTCTACATTCCCACACCTGACCATCCCGTGGGGATCAATTATATGGACTTGCCCAATAAGTTGTGTTTCCTTGCCTTACCTCAGGTGGGCAAGTTTCTAGACATGATCAATCAGGTTAGGGGCTGCAAAACCCCCGGGTGCAATGGAAATTTAGCTCCTACTGGTGTAATGTCTAAAGGGTTTGGTGGTTGTGTTCATGTATCCTGTCGTTGTGATAGATGTGGGTCAGGAGGTACATATTTTGAAACCTATATAAACCATTATGTTGGCTGTAGTCAATTGTAACCTACCTGTAAGTGACTTGAATTGTTCCCATGCACAGTTTATATGCACCCCCACCACGCAGTAGTGCATGTAGAGCCTGAATAAACAGAGCCTGCATGACAACCAGCTTCCAGTTCTGTAGCAAAGGCCCGCGGCAATTTGTGAACTTTTTCACAGTTTGTTGATGTGATGTTTCATATACAGCTTCTTCAGGTTCTCTGCAGGTTCCCTCATTTCTAGAGAAGCTTCTACTGTACTGGTGGAGAGAAACAATCATCGCAGCCGTTCCGAATGTACTGGTGGTGTTCTATCATCTAATGATCCTGTGAGCGTCTGTTATTTTTGTTATTGCATTTCTAATGTTTCTTTCTCTATCAACTCATTTTCACCGTGCTGATGCACACTGTACACTTCTAATAAGTGCTCACCCAGCCAGTATCGCGCATTACCTTCTTTCGTACATGTATATACAAGTGGGATGTTACTATTGTACATACCTCCCAGGTTCGTCAAGAACCAATGTTCTGCGTCTGTGACCCAAAGCAGAATGGAATGGACGGAACTACCAGATTTTGCTATTGTGACCCACCAACCAATGACCATGTTTTGACATTTTTAACTTATCACATTTTTGTATGTGTGCTGATGTTTCATAGAGTTTCATGTAAGCGAGATCGTTTTTCTTGAACAGAAATGATGAAAATTGAAACTGGCAATAGGTACATAGTACACAACTGGCAATAGGTACATAGTACACAACTGGCAATAGGTACATAGTACACAACTGGCAATAGGTACATAGTACACAACTGGCAATAGGTACATAGTACACAACTGGCAATAGGTACATAGTACACAACTGGCAATAGGTACATAGTACACAACTGGCAATAGGTACATAGTACACAACTGGCAATAGGTACATAGTACACAACTGGCAATAGGTAGTGTATACACAACTGGCAATAGGCATTACAATATTCAGATGGGCAGAGCTTTTACCCCCTCTACTATTTCATGGGTGTCCCGCTTCAGTTCCTCCTGCTCCTGCATCCTCAGCTCCCGGTCCTGCCTCTCCAGGGTTTGCAACCTCCTATCAATATCTACCAGGAGCTGTAGAAGGTGATCTGTTGATGCCGTTCCTGCTGCTGATATCTCTGTCCACCGGTGTGGGTGGGATGGCTTGCCTCAACTCCGACTCCACGTGCTGGAGGAGAGTAAGAAGATCGTCGACGTAAGAAATGACTTGTTGTAGGTCTTGCGTGAGATAGTCCTTCCTTTGGAATGTAACGGTGTCCTTCATTCGTCTCAGCTTGTATCTCATGTCTTCAGTGGCCTTGCCACCTGGCACATATTGGTATATCGACATTGTGTGCTCATTAGCAGAGAAACCTAATGCAGACAAGTTATATGGATGGTATAATAAGGAAGGGAGACAAGATAGGGATGGGATATCACGTCCACATTTTGAGGTTACATTCCCAAGCCGATGGCACAATCCCTATATTGTCGCCTAGGTGAAGGTTAGACAAACCTATGTTGTCTAGGTGTAATACACAACCTGTTTTTTTAGCAGCTAGATACAATTTCTCAGCAATATCAAGTCAGTGTAGTCAGAGGCCTGGGTGATTACTTGTTTACAGGTATGTTCTCCATTCTGGTTTGTAGGTGGAACACAATCACCATAGACTCTGACACCATAAATGTATGAAGGAGAGTGACAACAAAGCCTTCAAGTCAGTCATAAAGGCACACCAGACAGAAAATATAGGGATTGTGTCCCATTGGGGAATGTAACACACCAAAATGTGGACACCTTATTGACCGTTGCTAGGTGGTTGCTATGTTTATTGTGCTACTATAAATCAGCTAATGCACCAACGAGGTGTTAAGGTGACAATATGCACCGTGGTTAGTGCTTATATCTGATATAAGCACTGCGCTTAAAGTGCATCATAGCAACTTTCCGTGTTCTTGGGAACGAACTTCTTTTCCAGCGTCTTAACGTTAGCACCACTAAAAAAATTCAAATCGCTCACTGTACTCTTGAGTCATGGGCTCTACTTACTTCCCTAATGCCAGACTCAACCTCAGCTTCTTGCCCGTGCGGGATTGATCATTGTCCTCAGCCTCGCTTTCTGAAGTTCACCCTTCGACACTTACGCGAAGAGGGCTTCGAGACCTCTTTGCCATGACTTGCAACAGAGCGCAAAGCAAGGAGAAATGCCAGTGGGAGCTCCGCACACGAGAAAGCGCGACAGAGGACGCGAAACCACAAAAATGCACGCGTTGGCGATGGCAATTGACATGACGTCATAGCACCTAGCAACTATCAATAAACTAATTATCACACCTTTTGTCGTGCTGTTGCGGTTTACAAGGCCTCGCCCTCGGGACGTCGGCCTTGTAAACCAGCAACAGCACTCCAAAAGGTGTAATAACTACTACCTATCTTGTCTCCCTTCCTTTTTATACCATCCCTCTACTTTAAATTCGTAGAATTTTTTACTTGTACTAAGTACTACCATATTATATATGATACACAGTGTGTAGATCTGTAACGTACCGACAGGGTAAACATCACAACTGTGTCAAAGCTTGCACAAGTTTGCATAATTTAGTGCTGCATAAGCAAGACTAGTGTCTACTCTTAGACGACAGGAAAATTGTGACAATAAGGGGAATTTGCAATACAGGCAAAGAATGTAATTTCCACTGATTGCTCTTTTAGAAATGCGGCAGATCAATGCCATTACAGCATGTGGTTCAGAATGTGTGGGAATCGAACGGAGTAACTAACTTATATGTAGATCTGTAACGTACCGACAGGGTAAACATTCGGTTCTTCATATAGCATCAAGAGTGCACCCAGGATCTGGTACTCCCCTGTCGATCCGTCACCCTTCACCTCCCCCACGGCCAAAATTCCCAGCTTGGGTTTCACGACCAGAACATCCGCAATCCCTAAATCCCAGAAAGCAAGTATATATAATGCACGGAACTAGCTAACAAAAAGCAGAGCTAGCTAGATGAGGGTTTGGATGTAAAAAATCACCTGATATACTGGATGCTCTTAGTCCACACCAGTCGTGGAGAGAATGGGGTGTGGTCGAAATCTTGATTCCCCACTTAGATCCAACCCCAATCTCGTGCCGCATATCCAGTAGGTCACGCAAAAGGGTCTTTCCTGCTCCGTTGTGGAACAGGTGTTCTTCGTTGTTTCGACAAAATATCAAATGTCTGAACACAGGACAGAGGAAGGTAGGAATATACGCTGACAGTTTGGTCTCCTCCAGCCCCACTCCTCTGTCAAAAAGGTCACATACTGCTTCAGCAGTGCACTTTGCTCTGCCTCACTTCCCAGGAGAGAGAGGAGCTTGCTGGGTCCCGGGGTAGGTGCAGATTTCGGGGTAGGAGGAAATTGCAACTGCTCACTGCGTCTCGTACGCACCACTTTCCCGAAAGCAGCCCTTAGGTCCCCGAAACCCTTTACCTTCGAGAGTGTCAGCGAAAAGCCCTCGGATTCAGATTCACTTCGAGAAGAAGTCTCGCGCTCGGCCATTATAGCGTTCGTTCTCGGGGAAGACGACAGCGAGTGAAAACCGAGGAGACAGTATGGACAATACAGACGTCGACCACCGAGGAGGCACTGCGGAGAGAGGGAGACAGTGTTACATTGCAAGGAGGCATAGGGAACTAAAAGAGTAATAAAGAGATGAGACAGAGATGCATCAGTGAACAACTTTGTAATGAGGTGAAATTGTTAGACACAAAGGGGAATGCAAAGAATATAATTGAAGTCAGGGGCTTTTTTTGAAAGATCGAATATAAGGCTACAGTAAAATAATGAGTATAGAGTGATGCAGTGAAATGACACACTTATGGGATGTCCGTCTGGGGTGTGAGGGAGAAAATTGCAAAGGAGGGCTATATAGATAAGTAACAAGGGTCTGTGAAATAATAAAGGAGACAATAACTTGGTAATGAGGTAAAATTGTGACACAGAATTATAGGCAAACAATGTAATTTCCACTGATTGCTCTTTTAGAAGGATCAATCTAAGGCTACAGTAAAATAATAAGATGCAGTGAACCGGCACACTTACGGGATATCGGGGAGTGATTGTCTGTACTCGTCTTATTAGGGAACAATAGAGGCACTCAGAAACTGTCACTGTAGCCACAGGCCTTGGGGTTTTGACAACACTGGCGTAAAGGTGGTTCCTTTCGCCATTCTCTCTCTGGTCTCCTTTCCCTGGTATACTGTATACCCTAACATTGTAGTATGTGTCTGGTAATTATACTTCTTCCCTACCCCTACATGTATAGGTGTTGCTCTACGTGCAAAAGCACCCCTGATGTGAAGCTCCTGTAGCTCCTCCACATTCGTGCTACGGAAGACATATATGTGGCCGATTGGGTTTAATCCTGCACCCTGTACGGCCAGGGACCAGTTTGAGACAGGGGTGCGTTGCCCCGGGAGGCGTCTCGTGAGCATCTGCAGGAGAGCCTTTACTATTTCGGCATACTGCCTCTCGCTCAGCCCCCTGAGTATTCCTGGATGGTATAACGGGGGTGGTCCGCAATCCTTCATGACCGCATGGGCCGAATAGGTCAGCTTAGCCTCCCTGCAGGCGCACTCCATTAAGAAAAGCTTCAACTCGATGGCCGAGAGGTGAGGATGAACGGCATGCTGGGCAACAGGAGCACCCGGCAGGGCGAGAGCCCGATGTGTAGGTTCGTCATACAGTACAACGAAGATGGTCGGGTCGGGATCAATTGGCTGACATGTGAGGCAGCCAGCCTCCACATCCCCGCTGGGCAGCTCATCCATTGGTTGAAGCGTGTGGCAGGCAGCCTCCACATCCCTGCTGGGCAGCTCTTCCCTCGTGCACCCCGCCGCTCTCCCCTCCGGCGCGTCTTCTGTGTTAGGTGATGAGTCTCCCGCCGCATCTCCGTGTGCGCAGGTGTGAGACATCTAGAAGAAAAACAAACGGCGAGAGAAAAACAGAGAAGAGAATGAGACAACAGACCGAACATCAACATGCATTCTAGCTACCTCCAGCCGTGCGAGCACCCTGCACGAGGTGGTTGTCAAATGGTCCGCCGTGTTGCTCATACAGGGGGCGGATTTACATCACAACTGTGTCAAAGCTTGCACAAGTTTGCATAATTTAGTGCTGCATAAGCAAGACTAGTGTCTACTCTTAGATGACAGGAAAATCGTGACAAAAAGGGGAATTTGCAATACAGGCAAAGAATGTAGTTTCCACTGATTGCTCTTTTAGAAATGCGGCAGATCAATGCCATTACAGCATGTGGTTCAGAATGTGTGGGAATCGCTAGGTCACTCATTCTTCAGCTCATACAGGGGGCGGATTTACATCACAACTGTGCACAAGTTTGCATAATTTAGTGCAATACGCTAATTGAATCTAAGGCTACAGTAAAATAACAGAGTATAGAGTGATGCAGTGAAATGGCACACTTACGGGGTATCTCTTTGGGGAGTGAGTGTTTCCTGCAAAGAGATAGAGAGAGAGACAATAAAAGAGAGAGGTGGTGTATATTGCATAAGCCATAGCTGCATTATGGGATACTCTCTGATTGAAACACCTAACAAAAAACGTCATGAAGTTCCGGAGTGAGAGAGAAGGCACAAGGGATAGGCTGAGACTTTAGTAACTCACCATATTTTCAGTTAGCCTTGAATCTGTCGGCAGAGTGAAGAACCGGCGCAGGGCCCATGTCTTATAGGCAGGTAGGAAACTGGTATTACCAGTTATGCCATGTGCCGGATGTGTTTATCGTACCCACAGTGTCGCCTGTACTCAAAGTTGCCTGCACAATGCAGTTGGTGTGTGGTGGTTTCATCTTTGAGTGTGGGAGGGTTGACACCTTACTATCTCTGAATGTCCCATGCACAAACCTGCACACACAATATTGAGCATCTTAGTGGTGAGACTAATGAGAGACCTGAGGTCAATCTGTGTGTTTCCAAATCATTAGTGGAATGCAGCAAGTGGGTTTCATAATTTTATTGCCCTTACTGCTAAGAAGCACTGGGCAGAGCTACTACTACAATTAACCTGGCTGTCTGTCTTATCATCATCCAGGCACCCCAACTTACCCATGCCGCCAGACACCCCAACTTACCCATGTGCCCAGGTAACTTCTGCGACTGGGGCTGATTATTTACTGCTAAGATTGTTAGTTGTGGCACTCTGAGCAACAAAGTTATATTGCTGCCATAAATGACTGAACATGCTATGAGGTGGAGCTCCCACACACAAGCTAATAAGCTGATTTTGTGAGAAACAGTCATTAGGAGTGAAAACTTATTCTCCCATCCTATATATTATGCATGCAAGATTGACGTTAACTACTTTTAAAGGTCATGCTCTATCACACTTGCTCACCTCTCTCACAGAAAAAATTCCATGTAGGCAAATAGTTGCCTGAGATTTTTTTTGTAATTGGTAGGCTAATTGTGATGCGGTGGTCCTCAGTTAGGCCATCACTCACTTCCTTTATCAGTTCCTGTTTGAATGTCCCTAGTACTTTCATTCATGAGGCTTGGCAATACCAGTGACTACCCATATCATTGAAATCACTATTTAGGTCATGCAACCGAAAACCTGAGCCCGTTATGCCAAGAGGCTGTTTGTGTTGCTTACAGACATGTTGTCGTTTAGCATCTATGTAAACCGCGTTAAAAGGGTTAAAAGTAAATTTAAAAAGTCTATGAATTTATAGTAGAGGGAATATAGGGATGGTATAAAAAGGAAGGGAGACAAGATAGGGATGGGACATAAAGCATATAACGTCCATATTTTGAGGTGTGTTATATTCCCCAAGCCATTCGTAGAATGTTTTATTTACTAGTCTCCTCTCAGTTTATACACACTTGTGTACATGTCTCTAAGTGGGAGGGGGGCAAGCCCCTGAAAAATTAAATTATTATGCCTGAGGCTATTTCTAAACATGTTATGTGATGGTAAGGATGCAATACACATGTGTACCAAGTTTGATGTCTATGTCTTCTACTATTGGAAGAAACTTGTCTGAGGCTATTTGTTATTGCAAACATGTAATCATATGGTGAGGATGAAAACACATGCTTACCACGTTTCATGTCCATATGTGCTTTCATTAGCAACATACATTGCCTGAGGCTATTACACAAACTTGTATTGTTGTGTTTTTGTTTTTGGTATGTAATCATACATAGCTGTTATTGTTTATGCCTCGTTTATCCCCATCATAATGTATTGCCTGGGGCTATTTGTTGTTGTTTACTTACTGTAAACAACATTGTTTACAAACAAATACGACCAGTCTCATCGGGTTATGGATATCTACATTCTTACAAAATTTCATGCCTTTATCTAATTTAGTTTTTGAGTTATGGGTGTCGAATCTGAAGAAGAAGATGAACAAAACTCCCTATCATAGCCCCATACATCTATGATGCTAGGTATCATCATGCCCATCCCTATATATACTACTGTACTTAGCGATCCCTCCAATTGTTATGATAGGTATACTTAGCAATTGCTTCTGTGTTGATAGTGGAGATCATGAAATGTCAATTAACAAGCAAATGTGCCAGAATGTTTATTGTTACTCACATATTCCACCACTAGTAGTCATACGGCAGGCACCTCTCCTGGCAATGTATATAGCTACAGGCTGTCCATCCATCAATATCAATGTGAACAGTTGAATGCTGTGATAGATGCTGATTTTTGTTGATGTTTGCCATGTCCACTGCATGGGTAATTGTAACTACCAATGAGAATACAGAAGGAGGTATACAAGTGGAAAAATCATTTCTTCAAAATGAAGGGGTGATATAGGGATGGCTTGAAGCACCAAAAAGGAAGAAACAA